CCTGCAGCCCCCGGGCATCTGCCCTGGGGCCCCTCCTTGTTGGCAAGCCCCCAGGGAACGGATCCACTCTTATTTTTTTATTTTAAAGATTTGATTTTATTGATTTGAGAGAGTATGAATGAGCAACACCGCACAAGAAGGGAGGAGCAGCAGAGGGTGAAGCAGACTCCCCGCTGAGCAGGGAGCACAACGCCAGGCTTGATCCCAGGACCTGGGGATCGTGACCTGAGCTGAAGGCAGATGCTCAACTGACAGCCCCCTAGGTGGCCCTGGGCCCACTCTTTACACTCCAAAGGATGGGGGCAAGGGGGAGGGCAGCGGTAATGTGACTGGCAAAGTACAGATGACAAGACACATGAGGGCTGAGACAGACAAGGTGACCAAACCCAGCTCCACTGAGGGGATCCCAGACCCCATAGGCATCTCCCAGATCTAACATGGTGGGAGCTCTTGCCAGAGCCACACACAATACTCCATGGCCAGACAGCCCTCTGCAGGCATAGCACTCCAGGAAAGCTTCACCTCGGAAGGAAGCCATATTGCATGTCTTAGTTAAATCGTAGCTGAAGGTGGTGGGTGTAGCAAGACCCAGCCATGATCACAGCAGGGCACAAAGGAGAGGGATGCAGCCCAGCGCCGTGTCTGTGCATCATTCATGCTTGTCTCCTGAACTTCCCTCCCCAGGGCCCTCCCAGTTCTCCCCCCTCCCTGCAGAGAACAGCTTCAAACGCCATCCCCGGGCCCTCCACCCCTCCTCCCATTCTCTCGTCACCCCCCCAACAGGCCTGTCACACCAACCACCCATTGGGACTCCTATCACTGGCTGGTTCCGGGACCCCGCAGTCCTAACCCCGTGCTCTCTCCTCTGCCCTCGGCCAACTTGACTCATCGACGCCATTGAACTCTGTTCCCTCTGGTCTACACACTGGCCACACCTGCCCGGCCACCTCTGCACCTCCTCCTCCAGAAGCACAAACGATGGAGTCTCCAGGCTTGGGCCCAGGCTTTCTTCTGTCCCCACTGTGCATCAGACCATTAACTATCACATTTC